TTTCTAGGCTGTTTTTCCCTAGTTTTTCGCCTTTTTTTCTCCTTCAATATTATATGATTCATTACACAATATATGCCGATCATGCAAAAAGAGAAGAAGAAAATGAAAAACACCACCATCATTCATTGTCATTCATGAAACAAACAAACAAAAAAAAATCTATCAGAAAAAAATTATGATCCCAAAAATCGAATAACAAATTTTCATTTTTTTGTAAACTAAAAATAACTACCAAAAAAACCCAAAAAACAGAAAAAAAAGTCATTGAGAATCTTCGGATATCTGGAAATGGAAACAACAGAATGAAAAAAAAATTCTGGTCAAAGAATATCAGTATATACACACACACACTGTATAGACTTTTGATACTTTTTTGGTCTACAAGTTATTATCATTATTTTCGATTGTGACTATACTTATTATTATCATTATAATTAGGACACAAACACACACACACACACACACACACCAACACCCATTTATTCTTTTGTTTCTAGTTTGTTTTTTGTATGTTTCGTTCGTGTTCGGTACACATGTCGTAATCAGCAAAAATTCAGAAAAAAAAATTTATATTTTCCAAACACCAGCCAATTTGAACTGAATCTCAAAAACAAAACAAGTATATAAAAAAACAATTCATTTTAAGTTCTATATTTAGGTTGACTAATAGTTTTTTTTTTGGTTTTCCACACACACACACACAGGTATATTATATTATTATCCTTTTGTTTTTTCGGGATATCCAAAAACCAAAAAACCAAACCAACCAAACGGATAACTTTTTTTGTATGTTCAATTTGGTTTTCTGGTTTTCTGGCTTTACCTTTGCTGGTTTTCCGGCTTTCCGGTTTTCCGGTTTTTTTTTTTGGCTTTTTCAAGTTACCATGGTGGTTGTTATAAATTTGATAAATTTTAATTACAAAAATTTCATTTCATTTGTTGTACTTTTTTTTTGGAAATTAAAATTACAAAAACAAAAACAAATTCTGTAGAATATCAATAACAACAACAACAAAATTTGCTAAAAATAAATTTTTTGATTTTTGATTTTTGCTTTTTGCTTGATTTCGTTCAACAAAAAAAAGCCAAAACCAAAAAGCAAATAATGAACTTTATTGATCGATAATTTTTTCTTTTCAGTTGTTTGATAAACGAACATGATTTTTACATTTAAAAAATACAAAAAACAAAGAATTTTTCCATTGAAGAATTTCATTTTTCGTTGTTTTTCGTTGTTTTCCCTCTTTTTTTTTGAAGCTGTTTTCCAAAATTTGAACAACAATAACACCATTGAACAAAAATTAAAGTGTTGTTGTTGTTGTTCAATTTGCGCTTCTCTTCCCTTCTTTCTGATGACGATAATGATCCGATTTTTTCATCTGAAAAATGGCCAAATTTTTCTTTTGTTATCCTTGAAATCATTAAATGCTTTTGATGATGATGATGAAATATTCATTTGCAGTGTAGAGTGTAACACATGGTGGAAAATTTTTGAAAAATACCAGCAGAATCCAGAATCGAAAGAGAATCGAGAGAAAAATGTATTTTTGCATCGTTTATTTTCACTCAGATTTTCCCTTTTTTTATCGCCTTTAAAATGACCTTTTTTTTGAATGAATTTGATGACAATCGAGAACCAAAATCCAAATTGAATAACAATGTTTTTTCTGTCTGTGTATTTTCAATTATCAGGATTTCTCTCTGACGAATTTTTTCAATAAAATCCATCCATCCACCCATACACGCACCAACCAGCCAGCAAACACCCATAATGAAAAGTAATAATGGTGATGGGGAAATCAAAACAAAACAAAACAAAATATGATTTTCGTGATTCAACTTTTACGTTTTTGCGTTTTTTATTGATCTCTATCATCAAACACAATGGTAAACTCTCTCGCTCTCTCTCTCTCTCTCTCTGTGTGTTTGGTTTGTTGATTTATTACTTACTTACTTATTTTGGGTCCAATTTTATTCTGGATTCTTGATCAAATTGGATTCTGGATTTGTTTTGTTTCACAATTTCAAAATCATTTTCGAAATATTATTATTTTTTTTCGTGATTTTTTTCTTTCATTGTTTTGATTCATAACAATGATTTTGTAGTTTGTTTTTGTTTGTTTTATCGGGATAATAAGAATTTTTTCTTTCGCAAAAAAATCATTCCATCGCACAACTTACACAAACGCACGAACCAAAATACATAATTAAAGAATAATGAAAAAAAAAATGGAAAAAAATTCCAACCTTTTTTTTCGAATTCTGTATGGAAATTCTTTGTCTCTTTCTTATCATTATTATTCTGATTATTCTGATTATTCTGATTCTGATTCTTGCAATGAGAAATCTGTGTTTGCGTTTGTGTGTAATATCTGAATATTAACGAATGTGAATGATGCTGATGAAAAACAATCAATGAAAGAATCAATTGGATAATCGATAATGAAAGGTTTTTTTTTTGTTGAATGAAGAAGGGGGTGGTGAAAAAGAGGTTCATTCTTTCTTTCTTTTTTTCCTCCCCCAACCTAAATAGTTTCAGTCAAATTGGTCAATCAAATTTGATTTAAAATCATGAAACAAAAGAATATCTCTTTGTGCTTATACGTGTGTGCTTGAATTTGAATATTCTTTGCATGCATTTTCTCTCTCTCTCTCTCTCTCTCTCTCTCTCTATCTCTTGGTTTTTCTTTCTTTTGGTATCTTTCATTCATTCATTCATGCTTGAATGATATGTCCCAGTTTTTTTTTATTCAACGACAAAGACTATGATGATGATGATGGAATTTATGAAAAGGAAAAAAAAAATACCGAAATATAAAACTGGAAGCGACAATCAATAAACCAAATGAATGAATGTAGAAATGAAAAATTTCAACAACAACAATGATGATGATATAGGAGACATTTCTTTTTTGTTAGTGAAAAACATTTCAACATTTTAAGATCATTTTTGATCTTGTCTTTTTTGTTGATCCAAATTCATTTCAATCAATTTTTTTTCTTTTCATTGAATCCTATAACCTGATCTGTATAGAGATTTTTCTACCATTCTTCGTGGTAAAAATCCAGAAAAAAATGATAAAAGTACCAGAGAAGAAAAAGAATCTAAAATGGATTCTGCGCATTACGAAAAATGTAATAAAAATCTTATGGCCTTCGGTTTTTATTCCTCCTCTATGATTATTATCATCATCGTTGTCGTCATTTTGTTTTTGTTTTCATCAAGTAATGAACCTGAAAGAATATAGAAGTTTTTTTTACTTTACTTTACTTTGCTTTAAAAAGCGATAACCAAAATATTACGAATGCAGGCATTGTTCCAGAATGCAATGGTTTATAGTTTTTAGTTCATAGAACCTCAAATGAAATTATCTATGCTATGTTTTTTCAAGAATTTGTTTTTGTCACAGAATAAAAGGTCGTCCAAAAAAAAAAAAATTTCCATTATAAACAATAGAATTTCATTCATTTACGCATGATCATCATCATCATAAAAGAATAAAAGAATAAAATCACTTTGACTTTGTTCCATGTGCTATAGTAAATGTCATCATCATCAATTATATATACAGAATAAAGTAGTGGTATTTGATAATGAAGGAATTGATTCCTCCTTGGATTTTTTTTTCTGTTTATGGTGGGAGGGGGAAGAAACATTGTTGTTGTTGTTGTTGTTAAAAGTTCACCAACATTGGTCTCATGGTTTTTTTTACAATTTTTTTTGGCAACAAAATCATACGGTTTTACGGGAAAACACATGCGTATTTTTGATAATATTCAATGACGTAAAACCGGAAAAAAATACCCGAAAAAACGGGAAAAAATACCCGAAGATCATATGAAGATCGTATCCAAATTGTCCGTTTCTCTATATATTTCTTCATTTTCATTTCGCAAAAAAAAATGTTTGAATGTTAAAGTTTATTCTCGTTGATGTTTTCTGTTCAGATTTTTCATTTCGTTTTTTTTTTTTTTTTGGTTTGACAACGACTACGACGACGAAGGGGTTTGTTTTTTTGTATTTTCTTTC